ACGCTAAGCTGATGTAACATTGGATGTTGTTGTTACAAATGGGTTATATCTTCACAGAAGTGTTTTTCAGCCACTAGAATCTTCTGGTGAAAGATTGATAAGGCTATTTTCAGTTTCATAAGGGACCTTTTACACCATCGATAATGTAGATTTTAATAAGTTTAACAACAAAACACAAGTAAATAGCGCTATTCCGCCTAGTCTCTATATTGTTTACCATGCAACTCTAAATATATATGCACTTTTAGCTGCACAGCACCACAATTATGGAATTCCCTGCCATTAGATATTCGTCAGGTGGATTCTATCTCCAATTTTAAATCCCAGGTAGAAACCTTTTTGTTCATGATTGCTTTTAATGATTTTATGGATTAACACTATGTTTTATTACTCTTCTTTCTTGTTTTTATAATGTGCCTGTGACATAATGTAAGGTGTCCTTGAGTGCTCTGAAAGGCGCCTATAAATAAAAAGTATTATTATTATTATTAAATATTCGCTCTAAAATAGCATGTCAGTTTGGCTTAGTAATGAGTGTAATTCCTGCATGCCGCCAGACAAGAACTAGTCGCATTTAACACATGAGAGAGGGTTATTTTGCTGTCATCTTTAAGGTGCGTGTGCTCCTGTTTCAGGAGGCGTGGCTCTGGACGGCAGGGGAGGGACTGTGATTCAGAGATTTATGCTAAGCTGTTAGCTTTATGGAAGATCATCTACTGCACCTTTAAATATTTATTTATCATACAATATTGAATATATATTTATTACTTATTTTAGGTAGTTTCAAATGAAATGATTACTCCAGTCATTATTGCTTTTATTACTATTATCATTAATAATAATAATAATAATAATAATAATAATAATAATAATAATAACAATAATTATTAATATTACAGTGATTTCTGAAGGATCATGTGACTGAACACTGGAGTATTGAAGCTGAATAAGCTTATGTATGTACACTATATCGGGTGCTGTGTGATTATAATGCAGTGGTTTCCTCTAATTTGCAATAAAGCAGCAAATAAACATCTAGTTCATGTGTTCATATTTGACATTCCTTGTCTGGTTTCCAGCTTTAAAGTAAATAAATGCATGAAAACAAATTGGGATTGGCCAATCGGCTTGTAACAAATTGTCAACCGGAATTGACCATTAAAAACCAAGCGTCTCCAATAAATACTTCCCTGTTTAATGAGAAAGGAGGGGAAACAAGCTTTTCAGGAGCTCACACTGATTTTATAACCTCCTTAACGGCCATAAATTGTTTATAAGTGTGTCACCGGGCCTGGCATTAGCACGGTAAACACACGCTAGGCTACTTGAAATTGCTGTGAACGGTGGAGGATTTGGCGCATGTGCTGCAGCTTATCTTCCTCAATAAACCTCTAAGACAAAAGGGAGTTTGAGCCAACAGAGCGAGTGCTGCTTTTCTTTTCTCGCTATCTCACACTGAACTTTCGACACTGCTTTAACAACAGCTAAATTTCCTCCTAATTTGTGCTCGCTGTAGTCCTTTATCTTCCACTGGTTTTGGGAATAGAGGAGATGGAAAGCAGCTGGCAGGTTTCAAGGTTCATTTCACAAGGACGATTATTTTTTATATGTCGGTCTGTATGTGCTTTTTGATATTTAGAAGCTGATATACAGTAAAAAAAAAAAAAAAGTTTACATACTCTCTAAAAAAAGGAACATAAACATTATTTTATGTCTAATTGTAAATCATACTAAATGTTTACTACTTTAGGTCCGTTAGGATTATCTTAATCAGTGGTTCTCAAACTGTGGTACGTGTACCACTAGTGGTACACAGGCTTCCTTCTAGTGGTACGCGGAGGAATGAAATATGTCATGTACATGCTACACACATTTCAAAATTTAGCAAAATTATGTATATAATATGCCATAAATGACATATAGCCTATATTTCTGAGGTAATCTGCCACATTTTTTAACTGTGCAGAGTTGGAGCTGCTTTACTGGGCCTACTATGCTACTGTATTTAAATACTGCTCATTTTGGTGGTACTTGGAGAGACTATTTTTTTTCTGAGGTGGTACTTGATGAAAAAAGTTTGAGAACCACTGATCTAAATGATTTACATTTGCTAAATTACAGAATAATGAGTTTTTTTTTTTTTTTTTGAGAATTTTTAATTAATTTCTAGACAGTAAAAATTACATACATTTCCTTGGTATATTTTTAGCTTTACTTTTAAGCTGTATAACTTTGGTCAAATGTTTTGGGTATCCTTCCACAAGCTTCTCACAATAGTTTGAAGGAATTTGGGCTCATTCCTCCTGACAGAATTGGTGTAACTGAGTCAGATTTGTTGGCTGTCTTGCTCGCACAAGCTTTTTCAACTCTGCTCACAAATTTTCTATAGGATTGAGGTCGGGGCTTTGTGATGGCCACCCCAAAAAATTCACTCTGTTGTCCTTAAAGCACATTTGAACTAATATGGCAGTATGCTTAGGGTCATGGTCTGTTTGGAAGACTCATTTGTGGCCAAGTTTTAATTTCCTGGCTGATGTCTTGAGATGTTGCTTCAGTATTTCTACATAATGTTCTTTCTTCATGATGCCATCTATGCTGTGAAGTGGACCAGTCCCTCCTGCAGCAAAGCAGCCCCCCAACATGATGCTGCCGCCCCCATACTTCACAGTTGGAATGGTGTTCCTAGGCTTGTCAGCTTTCCCCTTTGTCCTCCAAATGTAACACTGGTCATTATGCCCAAACAGTTCAATCTTAGTTCCATCAGAGCACAGGACATGTCTTCAAAAATTACTTTTGTTCCCAGTGTAATTTAGCAAATTGTAATCTGGCTTTTTTATTGATTCTGGCTTGTTGATTTTCCCATATTTAAACACAAGGAAGCCGTGTGTTTGAGGTTTTCCTTAAATACTATTCTACAGTTGTGCCTCCCATTAACTCAAATGTTGTCAATTAGCCAATCAGAAGCTTCCAAAACATTGACATCATCAACTGAGCTTTTTCAGTGGCATAATAAACTTATTCTATGTAAATGTGACTTTCAAAAAAAGTTATAACAATAAAAAAAAACTGCTATTTAGCATAACAGAAACACATTTGATAATCCTAACTTACCTAAAAGAGAAAACAGTTTAGTCACATTAACATCTGACTTAATTTAAATGGTTATGTGCCTTTTTTACAGTGTATGTAAACTTCTGGTTTCAACTGTATGTGATTCACTTTCATTTCATATGCATATATCATACTGTTTGTGCACACCATTTTTTTAAATTCAAAGGTTCAAAGATGAAAAGCATCAATGCAAAAAAAGTGGAATACCCCTTATAGAAATCTGTTACATGGAAATACATGCAAGTTTAAATTTGGATTTCACATATATAAAAAGTATATGTTATACATTCATCATATATTGCAAAAATGATTGTTTACATATATTTATTTCAACCATGGGAATTTCAAATAAGTAGATATATGTTTTAATATATTAGATTAATAATTATATAATGAATCATGTCCATATATGTTCATACACTCACCGGTCACTTTATTAGGTACACCTTACTAGTACCAGGTTGGACCCCCTTTTGCGTTCAGAACTGCCTTAATCCTTCGTGGCATAGATTCAACAAGGTGACGGAAATATTCCTCAGATATTTTGCTCCATATTGACATGATAGCATGATGCAGTTGCTGCAGATTTGTCGGCTGCACATCCATGATGCGAATGACCCGTTCCACCACATCCCAAATGTGCTCTATTGGATTGAGATCTGGTGACTGTTGAGGTCATTTAAGTAAAGTGAATTCTGACCCTACCATCTGAATGTCGCAGCAGATATTCTATCAGATTATCAGATTTTTATTTGGGACAGTGTAATTTCTGAAAAGAAAACCCAAATATTTACATATCATTAATTAATTAATTTTTTAAATTTATTAATCAGAGGTCGCCACAGTGGAATGAACCGCCAACTTATCCAGCACATGTTTTACGCAGTGGATGCCCTTCAAGCTGCAACCCATCACTGGCAAACACCCATCATTCTCATTCATACACATACACTACGGACAATTTAGCCTACCCAATTCACCTGTACCGCATGTTAATAGACTTTTGAACGGAAATGCCAACTGATCCAGCCGAGGTTCGAACCAGTGACCTTCTGTAAGGCAAGAGTGCGACCTGTATTTTCTGGTTGTATTTTAATAAAGAATATGAGAAGGTATATGTAATATCATTATACCTTCACTAAAACTAAAACTGTAAGTGGGGGTCTAAGACTTTTGCACAGCACTGTATTACACCACAGTATTTTCAATGTAGTTTTAGCGCTCGCCTACTGCTCCTGATGGCACTTGCTTTAAACATCCTTTCATCTTTTTTTCATGCTTGAACAAGTAAATGACTGCTTAAGTCTATTTAACGGATTAAATTTGAAGCAATTTACACTATTGATGCTCCAGAAGAAACCTTATGAAAATGAAACTAGTCATATCCTATGCATACCTGTCCACATTCGGATCATAAAATCCGGGAGATTTTATCCGGGGTGCACGCGAACTGAAGAACAGGGAGCAGGTATGAAAATGGTTGCGTGTTGGGTTCGGTGCGCATGGTGACCGGACTGGACCACGGACTGTCCTAGAGGATTGAAGACTCCAGCAATTTTCGCTAAGTTACTATTTTTACAACCAATGTTTGAGGGATGAGCATTTATTTCAAACTGTGATAAAAGTCACTTAAAGCACGGACAGTTCCTGTCGTTTTTGATTGCAGCCAATCAGAATCAAGAATTTCAACAGACCATGATATATGTGTGTGGGCATTCTGTAAAATGAGCTGTTGCTTTGTCTGCATTCTTTAATTAGCACACTGTCAGTAGATCAGTAGCAAACCGTCCCACTCTCCTCACACTTTTATGAGCTCGCGCTTCCACACTAATTTGCAGTGTTTAGGAAATCTGTTTTTTTAATGTGCTGCTGTGGTGTTGTTTTTACAGGGGGTGGCGAGTCAGACACAGAGCGCTTATTTCCTCCCCGAATTTGCACTTTCTCCACAAGGAAGCTTTCTGGAAGACACAACCGGAGAGCAGTATCTCACCTACCGCTACGATGACCAGGTCAGAAGCGCTCATATAATTATCTGGATTAAGGCTGGCATGATATCTAATTAAACTCCAGTCATTCTTGACACGTCCTGCAGTGATTTAATTGTGCGCAATGACGGTGAACTGATTGTGGTTCATTAGCTTCTTGAAATTAATGACAGATAATAGCATGTGTTTGTTATACGCTGTAAAATAATTGCTGGACTTTTGCACTGCACATGGGTGTAGTACCGAGCAAACAAAGAGAACTAAGTGTAAAAACAGAACACTTCATAGGTATTTTGCAAGGTACTAACTTTTGTGCTCAGCAAGTAACGCTATTGATGATAATACAGTTTCTTGCTGCACTGACCATGAGCTAAAGTAGCAGCGACTTGCACTAAATTCTAGGCTTATGCTAGTTTTGCTGAATATAATCAGCAAACAATGTAAATGAAATGACAAGACGCTGATGCTAGAAACTTGTATTACTATCGGCTAAGTGAAGTAACGGCTAGTTTTTGAAGTAACTTTTAAGGGTGCCTGATAACATAACAGCGCATGCTCCTCAAAGTGCATACTTTCTATCCTAAATTACTGAATATTACATATGTTATATATAGGAGTGTCACGATTTAAATTTTTAATCGAAATCAATCGAAATTTATGCTCAATTTCAATTATCGAATCAAAAAATAGAATCGTCGATGCTGCCACGCCCCCATGTCACGTCAGCTTGGCTTGCCAAGCGGGAAAAAAAACAGGCTTGTTGAAGTGCTTGTTAAACTGCAGACGCAGGAGACCCGTCGACAGAACTTAAACTCTCTCCTCTTTCAATGAAGTCGCCGGTGTTTAAGCATTTTGGATTTCCAGTGAGTTATGTTGACAACGTTCGGGTTGTCGACAAAAAAAACACAGTTTTGCAAGCTCTGCTATGTACGTATTACGTACGGTTCGTCCGATAGACAACACCGGCATCGCGATCCTTCGCCCACCCCCGTTGCAAATCCGCTCGCGAAAAGTACACACTCAGGCCCTGTTTACACTGTCTTTGTTTTTAAACGGCATTTTAGAAAGACAACGATTTGACATCCACAGTGGCGTGTAGCATTTCTGAGCAGCCCTCCTTCCTCTCTACCTCTGAAAATGCACATCACATGAGCACACAGACACAGACGCACACACAGCCATGCGCTCGAGAGAGCAGGTCCAGGCAGTCAGAGGACTGCTTCAATCTTTCATTCACTTGTACTTAGTCATTTTAGCGAACACCTCAGATACTGTTGGCTGGTTCCTGTTGGTTGTGCTTCTTTTATACTGACGCCATTATAACGACACAGATCACTGCCTATTCACGAGTCCCGCAGAAAAAGTGATTGACAGGTGGTAATTATGTGTGTATCTTGCCTTTATTCATTTACTGTATGATTTGTTTATGGGTAAAACAGACCATACAGGTCAGGTAGTTTAAACGGTAGGCTACAAATAATTAATTGGTCATTAATTAATTAATTATTCATAATCGAAAATCAAATTGAATCGTGCCTTTAGAATCGAAAATGTAATCGAATCGAGGATTTGGAGGATCGTGACACCCTTAGTTATATGCCATTTAGATCAGAAAGGTGGATATGTATATTGAGACACAAGGATATCGATGGTTCACACAAGTCGTTTATAATGAAGATTCATTCACAAATGAATAGCAGAAACAGCAGAACAACAGAAACCGTTGCTCATTGACAAACATCAATGTAGAGCTGGTATTTGAATGATTCTTTAGCGTAATGTCTAAAGTGAAGACAAAACAGATGATTTTGCTCACATTTAAGATTATAAGGTTGAACCTCATGAAATGCCATCAGTCTACAGAGATTTCCCAGTATTTCACTGTTGCTATTGGGATATTAAAATAATAAACCTCAAAAAAGCCAAAGCAAAGCAAACACTACCAGATTACTATGGTAAAAATGCAGCACTACAAAATACAAAAGAGAGAGATTGACTTAGAATGTCACTTACCTGTTTTATAATGATTTGGTCAGCTGTAGTTATAAATTACCCTGAGATTTTCTCCTCTAAGGGCTTATTATGCAGACTTGGTTGCCTTCTTGTGGCAGAATGTCAACAGCCTTTGCTCTCCTCAATGACAGGCTGATGGATGCCGAAGCGCTGAATCTCAGAATTGATAAATATTTAAAATAGGCACTTTCCTTATAAATAAACTGCTTAGTTGAAAACTAAGCAACTACATTTTTGCCTAAAAAAGCCCCAAAAGTGTGTTATGTTGTCCAACAGCTGCAATATTTGTCGAACTGTAGTGAGTTCATTGATCTGCTCTATGTGGGCGGAGTAATACACAAGAGTGAAAAGGCTGTACGAGTGCAGTTATTGCAGAATATCGCACAACTGTCAGCCAATCAGACTCAAGAACCAGACAGAACTGTTGTATAAATATATAATATATATGTGTAAAATGTGTGTGTTTGTACACCACATATGCACTTTCTTCTATTCAAATAAGTTGCAATGCATTTGTTAGAGTATTCATGAATCATTGATAGTAGAATTAATGAAATAAATAAATAAATTAAAAGGTTGTTTATTATTAGTTCCAGTGTTAAGAAATATGAAATTTAATATAATTTTTTCTTTTCACAATATACTTCTATGTATTGAAATTAAAATTAAATAAAACTAATATGTACTTTAGAATTGGTTTTGCATTATTAGTTCACATTAAGTAATGCTGTTAACTAATGCTTAATAAAGATTTAACATCAGATTAAATATTTATGTAGAAAGAAAACATATTAAGTGCAAATTAAAAAATTTAGTGTAAAATATGTTAAAATGAATTGATATACCTAGAACTTGTCCTGCACATTAAAATACCTTAATAATAAGCTAATTAAGTATTTTTATCACAGTTTTTTTTAAATATTGAATAAAACTTAAGGATGCATTCAAAATAAACATGATTGTTTTTGTGGTGCTGTGTCTTTCTGCAAGAATTCATTGGTCTTTAAAATATTTATGCTCTCTACTATATATTTCTGTTACATCAGTGCTAGTGTCAAAAGCAATACGATTCCTTAAAATGCTGCCTAGGTAGGGAGCTTACTAAATCTTTCGATTTGTCTTTTGTGCTGTGTGAATTTTTCTGCAGAAAGTGAGCGAGAAAGTCTCTTGGGTGTGTTATTGAGTGACTCAGTGATTCATTCACAGGAGGACACAAATCAATCTTGAATAATGACGGTCTGTGTTGCGCTGAGAGGAAAACATCCGGAAGAATAGCAAGAAATTATATCAGTGATGTGTTTTGGTTTTATTTGTGCTATAGTTGTGTCATGAGTAACCTGGCCTTAACGAGGGTTTTAATATTTAGGAAATATCTTTTTAATACTAATCACAGAAAGAAGAGGAACTTCATTGAAAGTAGATTTAATTTAGTCTCAATATGCGCCACATTAACCAATCAGGAGCTTGCTCTTGTAAGGGGCATGATTGTTGTTGGAGTCCTGGGGGAAAATCCTCTTGCCGACAGCGGACAACAGCTAAACAAACTGGGTTCGGCTCAGTCGGAAGCACCGCTGAAAGATTCCATCATCCACAGAGTTTCTGGAGGAGTTTATGAACTCACAGAGCTGGGAGCACCTCTGAAAGGATCCAGTGGACTCAGACAGGGCACCGAACGAATCAACACTCTTTTTTAGCCTTCATAAAGCACATAAACACAGTTATTATCTCAATAAAATCCATGTTAGCCACTTAGCAATGAAGCTACAGTCACTCCGAAGACAGAACCCCTGTCCATGATGCAAATACATGTCAATTGCTCTGTGAATTTGACGTACGAATGAAGTGAGTAAACAATGTTCACGTGTCTATTTATGCGCGAATAGCACAATTTATCCGCACGTTCCATGTCTGGTGTCAACACAGCATAAAAACATGAGTGGAACCGGAGCAAGCTGAACTGCCTCTCTAGGCAGAGGACGATCACGCCGCCCTCAACGCCAATGTGAGAATGAAAGTGACCAGTTATGAAAATGAAGTGAGGTGTCGCGGACCTCTATTCTGCTGCCCTATGCGCGGATATAACTGTGGACGAGCGGGTGCTGAGGGAGGGAGGTGTCGCCGACGCTGCTCTCTCTATTCTGTCGCCCTATGCGCGGATATAACTGAGGACACGCGGGTGCTGACGGAGGTGTCGCTGACGCTGCCCTCTCTATTCTGTCGCCTATGCGCGAATATATCTGAGGACGCAGGTGGTGAGGGAGGTGTCGCGGACATAACTGAGGATGTGGGTGGTAATGGGGGTGTTGCGGACGCCTCTCTGTACTGCTGCCCTAGGCGACCGCCTAGGTCGTCTCTATGGACGCGCCGGCCCTGGTGGTGGTGCAATGGTTGCTCCGCCTGATTGGCCAATTTTTGTTTACGAAATTCACTTAAAGCTCATGCTTTTAGACTGTAGGGGAAACTGGAGCACCTGAAGGAAACACACGTGAACATGGGAAAAACATCCAAAGTCCACACAGAAATGCAAACTGACCCAGCCGGGTCTCGAACCAGCAACCTTTTCTTGCTGTACTAACCACTGAGCTGCCGTGCCGCCAATGTAGATATTGATATAGTCAAATCATTTTGCAGACATAATTCAGTCTTCAGCATTAGCAATGGTTTTTAGCACTGTTGAGCTATTTCCACTCAGCGCAATCGTTTAAGACTTTCAGATCAGCCTCACGGCTTAAGGGGAATTTAGGCCAGGTTGTGTCGGTAAACCCTCCGTAACACAAAAGCCCAGGTAAACCCCAAGTTTATGTGCATTATTATAAAGCTCTGCCCGACTGTTTTCTTTTGAACGCCTGCCCTTGGAGCCATTAACCCAAACGCACCGTGTGTCAGCACTGATTTCTGTTTCCTGGCCAGTTGTTGTGTTTGTGACGTGTTGGCATGCATGTCCAGGATGGATTTTATTATGGTGATTTAGTGCTGGAATGCGGCGGTGGCACAGCAACCACGCAAACACA